AGGGGGGCTTTTGAAGGCAGGTAGTCTGCTTCCAGGGTCCGCGCCATGGGACGGGTTCCTTTCGTTCAGGCCAGCCCCACCGCATGGGTAGGGAAAATGAGGCCAGGAAAGGAGGTTCCAGCTCCCCGGAGTCCAGTAACGAATGAGGGGCAAAGCATGGGTTTCAGCTGGGTTTCCTCGTCCACACGGAGGCTGCTCCTTCTCCCCAGGGCGTGTTGACGTCAACGGTTTCCTGGTTGGGATGGGACAGTCTGCCCATAGCCTTACCTGAGCTCGGCTTCCTCATCCTGGGAGAGCGACAGGCCTCCCCTCTGGGTTTGCGTGAGATGGAATGAGCTCAGATCACGGCACAGGGTCAGGGCTCCCTGGGTGAAGCCAGTGGGATGATTATTCACCAGCCTTCTGGGCAGGACCGCCCACTCACCTCATCTCTACCCCTGGGGGGGGGGGGGGTTCTGAGTCACAGGGACTTTGGTGAGCAGGACCGATGGCTTGGAATGGCGCAAGTTGGAGCAAGTGAGGGGAACGAAGGGCCCTTGGGAACATAAAGTGAGATTTCCCGCCCCTGGGCCTTTGCACCGGCTGTTGCTTCTGCACAACCGCCCTTTCCGGTCATGCCTCTTCCTCAGTTTTGGTTTTTCCCTATTCTTAGTGCTGCAAGCAATTTAATTTGAGGTGGTTAGCCCAGGGCACCGAACAGGGCTGCTTGCTCCAAGAGCCTGGGGAGGCAACTGTGCTGGCAGGTGGCGGGGTCTCCCGCAGGGCAGGGCAGACTCCCCCCTTCCCCCCAGGCTTAGCAGGGCACCACCGGGATCACCCACGTGGCTCCCTATGTTTTCGCTGTTTCCTCACCTGGGAAATGGAGATAATAGGAGAAGCGACCTGGCGAGGTCGTTGATTCAAGGAGCTCGAGTCTGGAAAACGATGGGACACAAATAGGTTCCATACATAATAAGAGCTCAAAACTGTTTGCTCTGGTTGCCACTGAGTGCCAGCTTCGTGCCAAACACTTTACAAAAATTCTTTTATTTACCGGTTTATTGCCCCCCCTTCTCAGTCCCGCCCCGGGATGATGACTTCCCCGAAGGGTCAGGGTCGGGATGTGCCCCCTCCTGGTCTTCCCTCCCAGCAGGCACCACGGGCAATTTCTAATTCGTGGAGAGATGATATCACATGTGCCAGTCGATTGGGTATCGACTTTATCTTGGTAAGTGACCATGAGTTTCCCAAGGCGGGACGGGGGGGAGGATGGCCGCAGTGTTTCTCAAATTTACTTGACTTTGACCGCAGAACCACTCCCAGGCGTTTCTGAATCCAGCCTCTGGAGGCACACCCTTTGGGAAACATGGGGCCCCTGGCCCCCCGTGTTCTTCGATGAGACTTCATGCCTGGGACGGGCGTTAGTAGTAGTGGTGTCCTGAGAGTTCAGACTCCCATCTCTGAGGCGGCCTTGACCTCCGTCCTTTGGTGCCCACCCAGGGGCTGCCCTGCAGCTTGAGGGAAGGTGCCAGAGCTGGCAGTCTCTTTGGGGACACTGAGGTACGAGAGGGCAAGCGCTTGCCCGCTTGAGCAGGAGGTGGTCAGAGAGGGACGCTGGTGGGAACGAGGAGGGAGTGCTCCCAGGCGGTGCTCCCGCACCGAGGGCCTCGGTGGCCCCACTCTAGCCCCGGGAGGGCTCTGGGGCCGGGGGGCGGGGTTCTGTCGGCCGCGAGCCCTCGCCCCACGCTTCACGGCCATCGCCGCGGAGCACACAGGGATTGGGACTGGGTGCGCGGGTGCGCGGTGGAGGCTGGGTGGGACCGTGGCGCCGTGGGAGCCCCGGGAGAGTATCCGCCGTGTGCGGGCGGGACGCGGGCCCGCGTGGCCGCGGTGCGGGCTGCGAGCCAGGGTCGGCCGATGCGGCGCGCCGCGGGGAAGGTGTGTCGCGGCGTGG